CTGCGGGGCCGCGGCGGCTCCGCCGAGAGACGGCCGGAGTGACGGGGAGAGTAAACAAAGGCGGCCCCGCCGCCTGCGGCAAAACCGGCGGCGGATGCCTTTAGGCAGGATAGATGGCACGTCGCGATCCCGAGTCCCGCATCGCCTCTACGGACTCTCAGCGATTTCCTATTCAACCGCCCTATTCCCCGCAGAGATCCGGCTCCCACTCTGTACCGTCGTGAGGCAGACTAGGTTTACCCCAGATGATAGAGAGAATCAGTTCATTACAAGAAATTCATTATAGTTACAATAGTCACGGAATCACAAAATCATCTAGGTTGGAAAAGACCTTGAAGATCATCCAGTCCCACCATTAACCTCACACTGACGGTTCCCAACTACACCAGATTCCTCAGTGCTACATCAACCCAACTCTTAAACCCCTCCAGGGACGGGGACTCCACCACCTCCTTGGGCAGCCCATTCCAACGCCCAACAACCCTTTCTGGAAAGAAATGCTTCCTAATATCCAGTATAAAAGTCTTAATAGTCCATTAAGGTCTTGAGACTGTCTGCCCTTGACTTACAAATACAGGCACAATATCTACCGATGTAAATAGCACCTGATTTGACAAAAAAGACACAACCTTTTCCTGTTGGGAACTAGAGAGTCCTAGATTTGTAAATAATTCATAGTTGCCTTGATGCCATTTTCCATGTGCTCCCAAGGGAAATCCCATAAATTCAATGCTAGTGGCAATGGAATGCCCACCAGCAACTCAGTGGCCTTCCCAGCCCCAGCATGGTCTCAAGGGTAACCCAAAGCAATCTGTGGGTCATGGTCAGAGTTATCCCTGCAAGGCTGCTGCTCAAAAATAAACTCAAAAATTCTGAGCCTTCCCTGGCTCAAAAATAAACAGTCACAGGATGTCCCAGCAGTGGCACATCTGTGTTGGGTTTATGTGTGCGGCAGGTAGTGGAGGAGGCTACAGCAGTGCCCCTATGAGAAGCTTCTCAAAGCTCCCCCATCTCCAAGTCAGACCCACGTCTGGACAAGGCCAAGCCAATTAGCAGCTGTGGCTGTACCTCTGTGATATCGTATTTAAGAAGAGCAACATGAGAGGAGGAGTGGAGTTGTGAGGAGGAGTTGTGTGGAGGACACGTGTGAAACAAAGGAGGAAGGGGGGAAGGTACACCAGAGCAGAGACTCCCCTGCAGCCTGTGGCGAGAGGGCAGGGCCACCCCCACTGACACCCATGGAGGTCACCGGTGAGCAGATACCGAGGTGCAGCCTGTGGAAGACCCCACGCTGCAGCAGGTGACTGTGCCCGAAGAAGGCCGGGACTCTGCGGGAAGAAGCAGCCCCCGCTGTTGTAGTTTGGTGCTGAGAGGACTGCAACATGCAGGGGCTCTACCCACGCCAGAGCAGCTCAGGGAGAAACGCAGCCCATGGGAAGGATTCACAGCAGAGAGAGTTCACGGAGGACTGTCTGTGTGAGAGGGGAACCACACTGGAACAGGGAAGAACGTAAGGAGAATGTAAGGAGACTGACTGTAATCCCCCATCCCCTGCCCCCTGTGCCACTAGAAGGGAGGAGGTAGAGAAATCGGCAGCAAAGCTGAGCCTGGGAAGAAGGGAGAGGTGGGGGAAGGTGTTTTTAAGATGTGATAATGCTTCTCACTGTCCTACTCTGTTAAGTGCTGTTGTTGCTAGTTTTTTAATTAAAATTATGTTTTCTTCCCCTAATGAGTCTGTGTTTTGCATGTGACCATAATAGGTGTATCATCCCTTCCCATCCTTACGTCCATTCCTGAGCCTTTTGCTCTATTTTCTCCTTCCCAGTTCTGAGGGGGAAGGGGTGAGTGAGCTTTGTGGTGCTCAGCTACCCTCTGACCTCAAACCACAACAACATCCTTCCAACCATACAAAGGCTGTTTCAATAATGTGTCCACACTAGTAAATTAAATGCACCAGGGGCTTCTGTTTGGTGCTGAAGCAAACTGGCATAAAATAGCCTCTTAAATCCTAAAACGTCCAAGCTTGTTCTTGGTTTTTGTCCCGTGCTGACTCCTGAAATGTGGATGGGTATCGTCTGGGAGACAGCCAGCTGGCCTGGGCCAAAACCAAACCAGAGACTGTTCTAATAATTTTGGAATTAGAAGACAGTGATAACAATTTAATGACAATTAATGATGGTAGAGTTCTAGGGCCCAAGAGTGTTTCCTGGTAGCATTTAGTTTGCTAGCAGATATTTAACAAAAATATTTTGTATTTATCAGTCTCACAGAGGTGACTCCATCGCAGGGAAAATAAACATTAAGGGCACCTGTAATATTTCATTACCAGTCTTTGAGCCTTATGGCAGATCAAATGCTTCTGCAAAAGCCACATTCAATTCTGTCTGCCTTGGGTCTTCAGTCTGAGACACAGAGGCTGGAGCAGGAGATGAGGCAGTGCCAGGGAAGGCTCCTAGCTTAGGAATGCGACATCTCTGCTGTTATACTGCAACAGCAGCTTGTGACAGAGTTTTGGCCCAAGGCTGGGAGCTGGTTAGGGCTCTCCCACAGCTCATGATCTCCTGCTAGGCAGTATGGAGGTAACGATCACGTTCTGGAGAGTTAGCACACCTGTGGACTTTTCCTTGCCAGCTGCCCAATGAAATGTTCCGGGAAAGTTTAGGATACTAATATAAATGGAGCGAGAGAGTATGTCAGAGGAGCATGCTGAGACCTACCCCCATGCTGCCTTCAAGACCAGATTTCTTAGGTATTTCAGCAGGTTCTGTGGCTCTGAATCAAGTTGGATTCTGTGTTTGAGTCTAGCAGAGATGTTAGTACGTGACCATTGATAACCTACCTGCATCTTGCAAGCAGAAGTGAGGAGAGGGAATGTTACAATAGTCATTATGGCGATGTCTACTCTGATGGCTACTCTAGAGTCTAAACATACCAGTGACCTGACATTCAGACCTGCTGAACATTTGCTTCAAGGACTAGCTTCAGCTGAGTAATATTATCTTAGAGGTAGCTTGTTTGAGGTAGCCAAATTTAGTGGGCTTCAGGACCGAGGGGATCTGTCCCATCCCAGTCTGGTAGAAGGGAGGCTGCTTGCAGAACATATGCATACGTCCACTCACTCACCTTACAAACATACTTACATTCACTACTCTCAGATATTGACATGGACCCTAAGACCCAGAGATCAGGCACCAGCTCTGACACTGGGTTCTCCCAGGTGTTGGGCTCTTCATCTTGTCCAATTTGAAGTGTGTTAGTGGTTCACATATGCACATAACATGGGTCCCCTGAACAGCTGCTTTTTTCAGTAGCTCGCACCCAGACTAGACCTCTCCAGTTGTTGGCACTGAGACCTTTGGGCGCCTGGGACCTGCCAACTTAGTTTTGAATCCTCAATCCAAAATCTGTTTCCAGCCATCCTCTTCATGTCGTGTCTCCAGATCCTGCCTTTACTAATCCCAGACCTTGATGAACCCACCCAAGGCAACATGAACCCATCCAGGGAGTTAGGAGTGGCCACTCAGGTTCCTCCACTTAAAATCCATTTCATCCTAGCCCTGGGAGAGTTGCTAGTAGAAATATACAGAGGCACAATTAAAAGGTAACTGATTTTTGATCAAGAGCAGTGTAAATTAAAAAAAAGGTGTTTGACAAAAAATAAAACAAAAAGGCAGTAACAGAGTTCAATGCAGATTTAGGAACAAAATAGGGATAATAAGGATAGAACAACATGGATTAAGAAAAATTCTGGATCAGGACTAGGGGCCAGCATGGAGCTGAGTAGAGTCTAGGAAGACAACAGCCTGTGGGGAAGATCAGCAACACACTTGGCTCATTACGAACGTGTCTGTCTTGAGTCAAGACCTAGCATGTTTGGGGAAATAAGTCAGAAACCCAAGAGGAAACCCATGAAGCTTTCATCAGATTTCTTATGGCTGGTCTAGATGTGATAACCATTTGCGATAGTAACCTCCCCTTAACTGTCACCTGTTGATGCTACCCACAGTTCACATTGCTGCAGTCTGTTCTGAGACTGACTTCAACTCATGTTAAAGATGAAGAAACTTAACAGATTTTTCTGGAACTGTCCTTACCATCTCTTCTCTGACTCTGTCACACTTCTCAGATAATTTAAGGGCTATATAGGTGCCACATCTAAACACATTGGATTCACTGAGAGACCTCTTCTGTCTTCACCACAGAAAACTCTCTCTTCATTCTTGGTCCTTCACTCCATTGTGAGATTCATGGCTACACCAAAGGGTATTTTAACCAGGCCACACCACTGCATCTGCTTGTGACGCATAGGGCTTTTGGCATCCTTAACCTGATGTAAGAACTATAACCAGTTTGAGATGCTCTTCCATATGCTCTGCTCATAGTAAATCGTATCTTTGGGAAGCATTGGAGCCATGCCCACCTCTGCTGCCTAACGACTTTACAGCCAAGGACCATGAGAAAGGGACAGTGGTTGCCAAAGTGATGCCAAAATTAGAGAACCAGGAGAACCTTGTTAGATGAACAGATTCAGCCTGTAAGAAATCCTCCTGGTGGGGGTTAAATAATCTGCTATTCAGCATCTGGCAGTGGGGACTCTGGCAATCATCTCTGACACACCTGCTACTTCAGAAGACTATGAACGTGTTGGAAGGCACTGCCTCAAGGATCCTGCCTGAGTTCACCGGTGGTCAATGCAGCCTTCAGGAGCAAGGAGCACCGTGCACAGGAGCTCATGGGTGATAGTGATCAGAAGCTGCTCATATAGGCAGGGATGACATCCATTCAGATGCTGTTGGTCACAGATACTACTGAACAGGGTAACTGAAAGTTACTTTTTCTCCAACGACATTGATTTGCTTCCTTGCTTTCTCTACCCATCTGTCGGACTCAAGGAGATGGGTGTGTTCTGTTCAGCATTACTGCATGCCAGTGCAGGCTACAGGATCTAGCAGAGGAGCCTGAGGGAGGGTACCTGAGGATCCTCCTCAGGATGTAGGAGCCCTCTGATTCCCAAGTGCTTAGAACAGAACACAGTCTAGGAACACAGGACACATGTTGGAACACGTGTGATGATGACCATCTCCAAATCTTCATCTGAAATATTTTGTTTTCTCCAGATGGTTATTTCACTATGTGTGACATGCTAGCCTGGAAACTGAAAGGATGTCTTAGAGGTGTGAAGGAACTGGGGGGGAAGATGGGTTTATTATGTCTTGGTAGCTGATGGGAGGTATTCAACACATTCTGAGGATATATTCTCCCGTTTTAAAAAAAAAAAAAAAAAAAAAAAAAGTAGTCATGTCACCTTCAGGATCTTATTTCCAACATTTTTGTCCATGCAGATTGGTAGCAGTAGGAGGCATTCCCATTTGTCTAACCTGGTCTTTTCACTGTGATGTGGTGCACAAACCTGGAAGCTAAAGGAACAAGGACTGTCTTTGCCTTGCAAACTTCTGTTTCTACGCAGAATTCTATCTGTATTATCATTAATCCTCTTCCAGGTTTTGGCTGGGATGAGTCTTTCTTTTTCATGAGTCTTTCTTCCAGCGTTATAAGCAGGCTGATAGACAGGACAGTTCAGAACAATAGTACTCATCTCTATTCCTCTATTGAAAAAATGCTATCCGTTGTGGTAACTGTGACTGGCTTAGGGTTACGAGGTGCCAGGACATAAACTCATGGTATCCTCATGAGCATGAGAAGCAAGACTTTTTTGTTGGGTTTTGTTGTTGTTGTTGCTTGCTTGTTTGGTGGACTGGAACGCTATTGAGAGACAATTCTGGTCTATGTCTACAAAAATAGAAAACCCTTTCCCTCAGCTCCCATCCCATTTCAGAGAATTTTCTTGAAAATTATTATTTTGGTCCACTAGCCAAGCTGTGCCTTGGAGCAGAAGACAGTAATTGTAATGGGCAGAGACTACTTGGCAAACCCAAGTCTCCCCAAACATCCAGATTAATCTGGAAGACACTTGCATGAACGAATGAGGCTCTACTCCCACAATGTGCTGCCAGCTGGATTTGCAGAGAAGCAGCTGTCAAGCCTGGGACAGTTGCCTGACAATTAAAAGGCAGTGTATAATCTGAAAAAACATCTAAGGACATTTTGCTCAACTTAACTAACAGAAATGATTGTGGACTTTAATATCAATTTCTGGATTTTAATGTTAATTTGAATTCTGTGACTAAGAATGTAAATTCTACTATGTAACTCTAATATGTGAACTCTTTCTTTCTCTTCACACATGCCTTAGTGCTGTCAGGAATGACAGTGCAAGAGGTAGTCCTCTAGTAATGTGTGTGTTCACACCAAAAAAGATGTAAGAACTGGAAGCTTCTATGTCCTGGCCAGTAGGTTTCATTTTTTCTGTAGGTGGACAGTTGATTGGAAAAAAGGGTAAACATAATAGATCAGATGACTCAGTTTCAAATGTATTCACTGATTTACATGCTTACCTTGTCAGGCAGGAGACACTCACCTCTGGAGTCCCACAGGGATCAAGGATCCCATTAGCCTTTTTCAGTATCAAGCCTGAATTGCCAGTGCTTAATGAGAGTCAAGTGCCAGCAATCTGTGCATGGCATACATCCATTATGTTTTCCTGCACCCAACCTCTATAGCTGTCACAATGCATGGATGAAGAATGGCTGATCCTTGTTCTGCTTCAGCAAGGCAAAACCAGCATTCCTGGAATTTGCAGCTACGCTTTTGTGGTGAAGGTACACAGACAATTTATATTCCACAGCTAAGGAATATTTTTGGATTCCTTTGCTGATTCTGAGCTCTCACATAAAAACATCTGCTAATAACATTTTTTATAATCTCCATTTGGTGAGGTAACTCTACCCCATCCTGGCAGACAATGACCAGGCCTCAGTTATTCATGTCTTCCTCACCTCTTGGCTGGGCTGGGAAACTGATACGTTTTGGGCACAAAGCCTTTAGCGCTTATGAAATTCCAAGTACACCAGAAATCTGCAGTGCATCCCATCAACAACACATGCTGGTGTGAACATATAAAATCCTTTCTAATGGTCTCCATTCAAGTTTCATGAAGGATCAAGGCTTTTGCCTTTGTTTCCAAAGAAATTTGTGGCTTGGACCCAGAACATTAAAAAGATTGCCTATATTTCTGGGAGGGAAACCACATTTAATGTAATGAAGCTTTCTGCAATAACAGGACAGTTCATCTGAACTGTAGAGACCAAACTTTCTCAGAGGCTAATGTGAGATTCTGGAGTGAATTCCCCCAGGAACCACAGATCATCACAAGCCTTCACCATCTTCTACTCCCACTGCAAAGCACATTCTTTCTGTTTTATCTCGTCTGGTAAAAATACACAATAAAAATAAAACAGGACACTAATTCCACTAGGGAGAGAAAGAGAACAAACACCACCTGACAGATGTTAGTTGTGTCATTTGTAAGGCACTTAGATACATGGATGACATTGGGATACAGGAACTTAGCACAGAAGAGGTAGAACAGACCTATGATGTAAATTTGGATTCATGTTGCAGTAGGCACCTGTCCCCTGGAAACCCATTTGAGGTTGCCAGAGTTCACGCAGATCACAGAACAGCTGTAAATTCTAAGTGAATCTAGCTAAGAAACAAGTAGTTCCATCAACAGCATTATTTCAGGGTAGATTCTCTGCTGCTACAAAAGTATGCTCTAAAGCTTCAGTCTTTGTCCCAGTCAAGATCCTCACAGTATCTCAGACTTCTACCCAGCTCTGCGAAATCTGTTGGGACATATGTATCTTTGAGACCTCTAGCTCTCGCAGATTTGGCTGAGAGTGGTCACTTCTGGTTCTAAATATCTGGAGGAGGCAAGAGACACAGAGATGCTGATTACACAGACTCTGCATAGGAAATTATACTAAAACCTCTAGAAAAATGTCATAGAAAAATGACAACATTCTATAAAGCCAGCTTTATTTGAATAGGAAAACAATATAAAAAAATAAAGGGATCCTGTAAACACAAGATCAAATAAGCTAACATTTCACTGGAAGCTGAAACCTTGTGATAACAGATCTACTGAATACATATTTAACAAGCAAACCACCAACAGGTAAACACTTATATGTAAACTGTGCTTTTGGTAACTTCAGAAATAACCATCAAGGACTAGAGCACTGCAGCATGATTTTTGTTATAAATAACCTGTCAACAGTTTTTCAGAGAAAATACAACTGATCTCTCTGTTTCTCGGAATATGTCTCAAGATATAAAAACAGTACAAATACTTTCCTAAGATCAAAATGACAATGTTAGATTCAGACCAGTAAAAAAATCTAAACTGCTTAAGAATGCTATTAAAATAACTCTGTTAAAAACTTACTTATATTAAAAATAATTCCATTAAAGGCTGTTCTAGAGACAGAAAAATCTTTAAACACAGTGCTTACAATATACAAATGTAGAGGTTTTCAGACATAACTATTGGTATATTAGAGGCTGGCTGAGTTAAGAACCTTATCGTTAATGGTGCCATCCAGTCATGCAGATTTGTGGTATTTCTGAGCAATGCCATAGGGAACGTGCGCAGCTATGGTGCCTAATTTCTGTGCTCCTTCGATATGAAACATCTGGTCATCAAAGAAAATGTGAGGGCGGATTTTCACCAGGATCGGTCCTTTAGGAGCTCCTGCTAGAAAAAGTGCCTCATCGATCTCCAGACCCCAGCTACGAAGAGTCTTCAGCACTCTGGCTCCAGAGCTGGCTGCACTTCTGGCTGTGACCAGGAAGGTCCTTATGGGACAATTTAATCGTTCGTTTTTAGCATAGAACTTCTTCTGGAGTTTCCCTAGGTCTTCCAGAAAACCTTTCAAAGGACCCTGAATAAGAAATACCAGAAGTATATTTAGCATTTGTCCACAGCTCTTGAAATCATTCTTTTGCTCTCTTCCAGATTGCCAATTACATATAGGATTCCTTCCCTAATGCCATGCTACTCATCAAATCCTCTGTGATGTGTCCATATGTGTCTGCACCCCCACTAGGAATTCACAATCTGGAAAAAAGTTGAAACCATAAACCTACCTGGTATGATCAGTAGGAAACTGATTCTCAGTAAAGCTTACAAGATGTCTTACAATTTTAACTTATAACTGTAGTCTTTAATAAGATGTTCTTTAAAAACACTTAACTCTTTTTACTATGAACTATGAGCTGCAATTTTTTTTCTGTGCAAAAAACAGTAAGAGACCTAATTACATAGACATCACTGGACTCTTTCCAGATTAATGACAATATTATAATTCACTCCAATTAAAATAAGTAATTGATAGTTTGGGTTAAACTACAATATGTTACACTGTCTAGTGCTTTCAGAAATTAATCTCTTATTCTGAATTCATACAATTTTTAAAAATAGCAGAATTGGTCTTTCAGGTTAAGTTAATGTTAAAATATTTGTGGGTTTTAGACAAATAGCATAGTACCACATGGAAATAAGCACAGATATTACCCCGTTTCTATAACCAGAATATCCCAGTGATTGAAATGAACATTACATACACAATTTGATAAAAAAAACGTCAAGGAAATCAGTAGTAGCCTTTCCTTTTTCTAACGATACAATTAAAATACAACTGTAAGACACTGTCTTATATATGTAGTTCTCTCAGTGAAGTAGGAGATATAGTGAAAGGACTGCAATGGTGGGCTCTTTTATGTCAAATGTGCATTTGTGCTGGGTGTGTGTGGTGGGATTTTTGATAGCAGAGGAGGGAGCTACAGCGGTGGCCCCCTGTGAGAAGCTTCTGAAAGTTCCCCTGGCTCCATGTCGGACCTGCCTCTGGCCAAGGCTGAGCCAATTAGTGATGGTGGCTGTGCCTCTGCAATAACATACTTAGGAAGGGGAACCTGAGAGGGTGTTGAGGGGACTTGTGAGGAGGCATTATGAAAAGGACACCTATGTGAACACTGGGGTCAGTGGAAGGAAGGAGGAGGAAGAAGGCGAGGTGCACCCCACCCCGCCACCCATGGAGGACATCAGAGAAGCAGAGATCCGCCTGCGGCCTGTGGAGGACCCCCAAACTCTTGGAAAGAAGCCCCCACTGTTGTAGTTTGGCACGGGAAGGACTGCAACATGTGGAGGTGACCCATGCCTGAGCATCTCGAGAAGAATGTGTCCTGTGGGGAGGACTCATGGCAGAGAGAGTTTGTGGAGGACTGTGTCCCGTGAGAGGCACGCCATGTGGAGCAGGGGGAAGAATGCAGAAGAGTGCTTCCCCCTCTTTGCAGGAAGAAGTGTCAGACTGATTGCACCCCCTATCCCCTGCCCCTGCGCTGCTGGTGGGTGGAGGTAGAGAGAGATATTGGGAACAAAACTGAGCCCAGGAAGAAGGGAGGGGTGGGGAGAGGTGTTCTTAAGATATGGTGACACTTCTCACTGTCCCGTTCTGTCTGCTACATGTTGTTGGCATTAATGTTTTGAATTAAAGTGATGTCCTTTTTTCTTCCCATAACGAGCCTGTCTTTTACCTGTGACCGTAACAGGTGAGCTACCCCTCTCTGTCCTTATCTCGATTCCTAAGCCTTTTGCTTCATCTTCTCCTTCCCAGCACTGGGCAGGGAAGGGGTGAGTGAACAGCTGCATGACACTGAGTTGCCCTCTGGGCTCAAACCATGACAGCATTTTAAAGATTATCCTTGAAAAAGGAAATAAATAGGGCAATCAGCTTCCACAAAGAAGAATACATATAAACTGGAGAAACTGGAGAAATACATCAGCAATGAAAATTAACAAATGTTTTGAAAACTTACTAATTCAAGAAGTACAAACCTGTGCAAGAGGCTTATTTTCATTCAGCTGTTCATGTTCAAAAAACCGATCTAATCCTTGCTCTTTGACAATCTGTTCTGATTCATCAGAAAAGAGAACCGCATCCCCATCGAATGCCACCCTCAACTGTGTATCCGAGTAAGCAACATCTTTGTTGGCAGTGAACATTGTAGCTGATGCGATGCCTGAAAATGGATCAGAGAACCTCAGTTAGCATGTCCTGCAAAGTCATTCATTAAACTGTCAGCAGTTCGGTTCCAACAGCTTATTTGAGGTGACCTTTATATATGGTGAGCAGAAACAATCACTAAAGCTAATTAGTAATGGCTGTTCTGTAACATAAACACATGGAAGCTGTTCCACGGACATAACTTCTCAGACATGTCCCTTCCATATACAAATATACAAAAACTGTCCCCAAGGTATGCTGCAAATGAGACAAAGCGGAAAATTCCAAGGAGACCCCTGAAACAAACAATTTGATATTTTTTAATTCCTTACAAATCAGAAGCTGGTTTTTATAAGTCATATCACAGAGATGACTCTGTTCAAACAGAAGTTGAAATGAGGTGAGTAGGTACGTATGGGAATTCATCTCTTGTAGCATGGAAGACAGAAAGGTGTAACAAACGTAGAGGGTGATTAAGTCATCATTACCAGCAGGCTGAAGTGTCAGAGAAGAACAATACAGAGAAATAACCTGATTTTATTTCATTAAGTAAAATTAAGTGGTAAGTTTGCATCATACAAAGTTGTCATGTTCTGTATTTGATGAAGCAGCACTACTTTCTGTGAAAGTCACACGATATATTTTTAACAAGTTCAGTGAAGAGATAACAAAAGAAAGTCGATTCAAACCTGCTTCTATAGCTTCTTGCACTTTTTCAGAGTCTGCTGAGAGGTACAAGTTCGTAAGGTACGCAGTCAGGTAACCGATAGGGCTTTTTCCTCCCGTCATACAGAAACGTTCAATTGTTAAGCCTAAAGTAAGAACAGCACAACAAGGTGTGACTCTGCCTTGACACTATAAACATGTGAAAGGAACCCATAAAAAGGCAAGACAGCAGAATAACTGCTGTGAAGGTATATGTATAGGGGGTGTAAATACTGAAGAGCGAAAAGTTTAAAGACTTCTCAGAAATTAAGATTCACACCTGACAAGTTAAATCTAGAGCTTTGGACCAAATTATGTTTAACACTACCTCACTTATGCTGACACTCAAAATTAAGTAACATCCTCTGAGGAACAGGTGTCAGTATCAAAGAAGCTGCTTTTACCAAGGTCAGAACAGAAAAATAAAACTAATTCATTTTATTATGTAACAGCAGGCAGTTCTACAAAGTTATATTTATTTTACTTACCATAGTGATTGATGCTGTTTATGAGTCTCACTCCTACTTGGGCATGGTTATTAGTCATCAGGACAATATCAAATCGTTCTTCATCATCAGGGTACAGCTCAAGGAGCCGGGCATTGACATGCTCCAGTGCCTGCAGGTTAAAAATGTGAAAGTCAATAGACAAGTGGAATGTGCCTCCCTTCTTAATCACTGTGGTCTTAGTGATAGGATTGCCTTGAAGGAGAATGTGAAATACCTGATAGTTTAACTTGCCAAACTTGTTTTATTCCTTTCTGCTCTGCGGCTCCCAGCAACCTTTTGACTGGGTTCACTTGGAAGGAAGTAAGTAAGTTTCTTTTGATGAGTTACAGAATTTAACTTTATCATGGAAATGCTTTTTCTTGGGACACCATAATCATTCAGAATAAATCAATGCATTGTTGAACTCTATCCGAATCCCTATCAGTCTTTTTTTTTCTTGTCCTCTTGATACTTGGACTTTCTTGTTCACTTGAAAATTATTCTTGTGAAATCAAGGAGAAAGTGTAAAGGAATTTATATGTTCCAGTACTTGTTCTGCATGCACAAATGTGAATTTGGGCATGTGCTTATGCAAAGATTTGCTGACACAGTTCAGGTGGTCAGGTGTCAAATACTGTCCTTAAGTAATTAGTACAAAATCATATTCTGTCAAACATGATTACCTTGGTGATTTGTAATTGCAGTACTGAATGAGACAGATTTTGATTCATTTGAGATCTCTTTAAAAATAATGGGCCAACTTGTTATATCCACAGTTTGGCACTCTTACTTCCTTGAACTTTCATGTGCCCATCTCTCTCTGTATCAATCTTTTCTCTCATCTTATTTAGAAACTTACTCCCTTGGAATAAGGCTTGCTTTTTGCTTTGGGTTTATACTCAGACCTCTGCTTTGGCCCTTGAATGGAATTCCTTGGGATTACAGCAAAAAAGTCAACAATGAATCATCAAATCAATGCAATTTCATTGAGGTGCTTTAAAAAGTCAGACCAGTGGTTAAGAATGAAAAGACAGATTTCATAATTAAATTCTGGGAATCTCACTTTAAAAAGCATGGTTATGTTATGTGGGACTATGGTTAGGAAGAATCTGAGTGAGAGACTGGTTTAAGACCTAGGAAAAAAATCTTCGTATGTGGTCATAACCCATTTCTACTGCTAATAATCTAGTACACTGGTCATTTCTTAAAGTATTAGAGGATAAGGGGGAATGGAAGAGTTGAAGATTTTTTGTCCAGGCTGTACACTTTGAAGCCCAAGGGAATCCTGGCCTGTGATTAAGATTTTTAAGTGCTACAACCATGAACTATGATACTTTACAATTAGTGTCTTAAAAATATCAGTAAAGGTATCAAAACAAAAATGTAGTATTTCTTTTTGTCTTCTTTGTCTCCAAGTAGAAACAATCACCCAACAAACCCACAGTTCTCTAGCCTAATGATTCCTGTGACTAAGCAATTTATGAATCTCTTAAAAAATACAGAAATTCAAAGGCAAATAGCATACCAGAAGGGAACAGAGGTCAAGTTGCATTTAGCTGGGCATAGCTAACAGCTCTGATTTTCAAAGTGTGAAGAATTAAACAGTCAAATCTTGCATATATTTAAAGTTAATTTTACACTGAACTCTATCAAATCTCTTGAAAACTCAGTGCTAGCAGCTATCTAGCCACTACAGACAGAAAAAGATGCAGTAAATTCACTGCCAGCCTAGCCTCACTGGTGTACAGAGTGAAATATCTTATGACCACTCTTCTGTTAGAAACACCTTTACAATGCTTGTGCTATTAATGCTAATAACATCTATCATGTATTTACAACAGCGTGGGTATTGGCATAAGTAATTTTTCCACTCTGTATTTCCAAAACATGATCAAAGCGGTAAATGTTTTAAATTCTGGAGACTAAAACTGAAGTAATGAAAATCTACTTTTAAAACTTTAAGTGTTCTGCCACAACTCTGCTGTCAGCAAGTATGACTGCTAATTATGATTTAATAAATTTTCTAAAACTGCTGTAGTAGACCTTATCAAACCGTTCTCCATGGACATAAAAAGAACTCTGTAGGTGGCATTTTTCAAGTCAGTCCCACTAAAACCCGTGTTCCCCAAACCCATATATAATATATATATATATATTTTATTATTTTTTTTTAATTTAACTTGCTTTTCATGCAGGACACTTGGCTACTTCTCTTATCTTGTGCAACGAAAGCAAAATATTCCATTTCACCTCTGCTTGAACCCTGACTCCCAACTAGGGGGGTCTATTTTTTTTGCTGGTCCTCAAGAACAGTTTCCAGGGTGACAATGAAAGTAAGGACAAATTAAAGCTGACCAAAAAAGTTCATTTCTTAATCAAGTAATTCAAATAATATTGAATCAACGCTGTCTTCAACCATAGTAGTCCTGTTATGACTGAGGCATAAAAACGGAATGAGGAACTAAGATGCTTTGTTTTTCTGAGGGGAAGAGGTTGACACAAACTTAAAACAATTTGTGGGCCTGTCTTAACTGAAAATAGTCTTAGAAGGAAAGGCGCTTTGTGTGGCCCGTGTCCAGCAGAAAATGCAGGTTGCCCCTTACCCCCGCCTTAGACGTGAAGCAGAGCACCGAGGGATACAAACCGTGATGCTGAGGGTAAAACGCCGGTCCCGGTGACGCGGGCAGTACGTGCCGTCCCGCAGGCGCTCAGCATTACTGCCCGCGGGAAGGGAGGCGAGAGGGAGCGGAGAAAAGGGAGAGGGTAGCCGCAAGGCCGAGGCGTCTCAGCGAGATGCGGAGGCGATGCCGGGCTCCCCGGCCGAGGCCATCTCACCGCCGGGGGAACGAGTGCCCGAAACGCTTGCCCCGAGCAGGATTGTCTCTGCCCAAGGAGGCTTCGGGCTCCTCCTCTTCCCGAAACTTGGCCTTGCAGCATCCTCCGCGCCCCGCCGCCCCCCCCGCGCCGCCCCG